AAAAAAAAAAAAAAAAAAAAAAAAAAAAACGAAATCAAAATGTGAAAGAAAAACTGTTGCTCGGGGCAGTAGCGATGCGTATGAAATTAAAAATAAAATAAAATGCTGGAAGTTGAAGTTGTTCAATGTGGTAATATTTCACTTAATAGAATAAAAAAAAAAAAAAAAAAAAAAACGAAATCAAAATGTGAAAGAAAAACTGTTGCTCGGGGCAGTAGCGATGCGTATGAAATTAAAAATAAAATAAAATGCTGGAAGTTGAAGTTGTTCAATGTGGTAATATTTCACTTAATAGAATAAAAAATAATTAAACACTCTTCTTAAAAAAAAAAAAAAAAAATTCATTGTCAAACTGTCGCATGATTACCGTGCTGAACCACATGCCTGAATGGTGCACGGATGTGCGAGAAATTGTTTAATGTCGAACGTATATATTATATTATGTTTTTATTTTTTTTAATTAATAAAAACAGATTAAGAAAAGCGCATGGTTACCCTACCCCACGTTGCTGAATGCTACACAGACGTTCCGGAAATTGTTTATTTAATGTCGTCGTATTAAATATTAATATTAAATATTAATACTACCGATATATGCGGGAGCTTGTTTGAAGTCATATATTATTTTAATTAATTAAAAAAAAAACTGCATGATTACCCAGCCCTCGAGGGCAAAACAGTTTTTTTTAAAATCTCGATTGAAAAGCAAGTTGTTATTCTATTTTTTTGTGTGTTTGTTTGAAGGAGTATAATTTAGGTCGGACGATAATGATGCCGTGGAGGAAGATCAAAACTGTGAATGGCTGTGATGATGACGTGGACCGTTGATTTTGATGACGTGGTCAATCGCTTCTTTTCTTTTTTCTTTTTTTTTTCCTTTGTCTGAAGTTCGGTATATATATTTTTGAAAATGGAAAGGCATTTGTCTGTGAATGGAGATGACAAAGAAGGAGAATATACGTAATGATCATGATCAATACAGGATCATGGTAATGATCATGATCATTATCATCCATGGTCATTATCGTCAATCATCATCATCGTCATCATCATCACCACCATCATCAATCATTGTGGTCATTATCCTCAATCATCATAATCACCATTATCCTCAATCATGATCACCTGGATTAGCGTAAATGAAATCATCATCATCAACCATCATTATCAATCATCATGATCAATCAATCATCATCATCATCATCATCATCAATCAATCATCACCATCATCATCATCATCATCATCATCATCGTCATCATCATCAATCATCATAATCATTACGACGGAGCCAAAATATCATTATCATCACTCGCCATCGTTATCGTGATTAGTATCATCACGATCCCAAGGAGAAGCAACAATCACCGTATCATCACCAAGCTGCAGAACCGTATAATGAAATCAGCAACAATCATCACCATCATCGTCATCAATCATCATCATCATCATCGCTTGCCGCCCCCATCAATCATCAATCATCTTCGTCAATCATCATCATCATTAGTCATCATCGTCTATCTCATCATCACCATCATCATCATCATCATCATCGCTTGCCGCCCCCTTCAATCATCAATCATCTTCGTCAATCATCATCATCAATCATCATTATCAATCATCATCATTATCATCACCATCACCATCACCATCATCATCATCAAGCATCATCATCAATCATCAATCATCATCATCATCATCATCTCTTGCCGCCGCCATCGCCGATCCGACGGTGATTATGAAGATGATGACACGTCTGTCTGTATGTACGAGCTTGCTAGGCAGATGATGACGTTCTTTTTTTTCCTCCTTTTTTTTTGCCTATCTTTAGTCGGTGAAGATCATGACGTGGAGCAGCTGACACTTATAGATGCTGACGTCGGCAGCTTACGTGGCTGAATAATGATGACATGGGGGAAAAGGCGGGAAAATTATGATGACATGGACGACTTATGGACGACGTGAAGAAAGTGACCCGGGATTATTACGTAAGATTTGATTGATGTGAAAAATATGAAAAGTTGAATTGCTATTGCGTGCGGTGAATTGATTGATTTTTAGTGTTTCGTAAAAATGTTTTTTTTTTCCGTTTCTGATCAAGGAAATGGTGAGAGTTGATTGACGACGCGAAGAATTGATAATTACTTTTTTTTTTTTTTTTTTTTTAAATGACTACTGTTTCGTATGATGGGACCTTTCCTTTTTTTATTTCCTTCTGTAATCCCCGTTTTTGACCCAGGAAAATATAATATTGCACCTGCGTTCTATTTGGGAGAAGGAACCCACCCTTATCCGCTTTGCCGTTCAAAATCTTCTTCTCCTTTTTTTTTTGTTTTTTTGTTTTTTTTGAAGTGTGTTAAATATTGCAATCATGGTTATACACTCGACGGGGGAGAGGGCGTATATTCTTCGAAATTAAATTTTCCATATAAAGGGGGGAACGAGATGGCGGCGGGGGAGAGAGGGCGTGCGGGGGGGTGAAGGGGTCGTGAATTTCACTTATAATAATAATAATAGTAATAATAATAATAATAATAATAATAATAATAATAATAATAATATGGATTTGTTTAACCATATTTAAAGAGAAGGAAAAAAAACGTTGAAAAAAAAACAAAAAAAAAACAAAAAAAAACGTTGTCCTGTTGTTGAAAGTAAAAAGTTGCTAAAAACTAAATCAGACCCCGATTATTTGACGTTGATCATCTGATCCTTTTTTTTTGTTTTTCTTTTTTTCTGTTTTCTTTTTCTTTTGGGAGTTATCGTTATTCTCAAGGCTTTGTCTCTTTTGTTCAGGGAAAAAAAGAAAAAAGGTTGATGATCTGATCCTTTTTTTTTTTTTTGGGAGTGCTCTTGTGAGCCTTCCCCCCCCCTCTCCCGGAGCGATCTGTTTGTTTTTCAGAACGAAAAAATGAAAAATAATAAATTAAGTAATTAATCAATTAATTAATCAATTAATTGAAAAAAGAGGAAAGATTGGTTTTTGATCACATGACAGAAGATTGGTGTACGCGTTTGTTGACCCTCGAAGTTTTTTTTTTTTTTTTTTTTTTTTTTTTTTTTTTTTTAATTGATTTAAATGTTATATTTTGATTATTCGTTTTTCTTTCGCCTCATCCGTTCACTCTTGGCAGCATGCAGCAGGTCATCTTCCGCTTCCGCTTTGCAAAATCGTCTCTTCTTGGGAAGTCATCATGTTGGATTCGAACAGATGCGCTACGCGACGACGGCGACTCATCTGTTGGGATCGGAACCTGCGGTTTTGCACAGGAGGGTGACCCGACGATGGATAAGCAAGTCCGCCGCGATCCCGACCGTTCAGGCTGTTGCCGAGGCCGAAGCTGAAAGCCCCACGAAGCCAAAGCTGAGCAGAGGAGAGAGGAGGGCAGCGATGCAGGAGTTTGTGAAAAAGCAAGTGCAACCACCCACCCACCCACCCACCCACGTCTTCCGTTTCTCTCTCTCTCCCGCTCCCTCTTTCTCCCAATCGTTCGCTCTTTCTCTCTCTCTCTATTTTTCTCTGTGTTTCTCTCTTTTTTTTCTCTCTCTCTCTCCCTCTGTCTCTTTCTCTCATTCTCTCTCCCTCTCTCTCTCTTTCTTTGTCTCTCTTTCTTTGTCTCTCTTTCTCTCTCCCTGTCTCTCTCTCTCTCTCTGTGCCTCTCCCTTATCGCCTTCTTGCAACACAATAGTTTCCCTCCCCTTAAGATAATCTCCCTTTCCGCCTTGGAGACTTCTCTCTCTCCCTCTTTCTCCCAATCGTTCGCTCTCTCTCTCCCTCTTTCTCCCAATCGTTCGCTCTCTCTCTCTCTCTCTCTCTCTCTTTCTCTGTCTCTCTTTCTCTCTCCCTCTGTCTCTCTCTGTCTCCCTCTGTCTCTCTTTCTCTCTCCCTCTCTCTCTCTCCCTCTTTGTCTTTCTCTGTCTCTCTTTCTCTCTCCCTCTCTCTCTGTGCCTCTCCCTTGTCTTCTTCTTGCAACGCAATCGTTTTCCCCCTTTTAAGATTCTCTCCCTTTCCGCCTTGGAGAGTCAGTGTTCAGACCTAACAAAGGGTATTATACCTTCGACTGAAACTGGTCATAATTCCAGGCAGATACATCCATGAAATCGTGTTTGTGAGCACACCCTAAGGGCACCGAATTGACGCACGAACCAACCCTCAAATCAACCCTCAAATCAACCCTCAAACCAACCCTACAACCGACCCTAAAACCAACAGTACAACCAACCCTACTACCGCGCCCCCCCCCCCCCCCCCCCCCCCCCCCCTCTCAGGCCAACCCTCAAACCAAACCTCACACTGCCCCTCAAGCCAGCCCACCTTCATCCAATCTTCAAACCAACCCTGCAACCGTTTTTGTCCCTTGCCTTCCCCTGCATTCTATTCCTCTTCTTCTCCTTCTCCTCCTCCTCTTCTCTCCCCCAACCTTTGCCCCTCTCCCTATCTCCCTATCCCACTACCAACCAACCCTACAACGTTGTTCCCTCCTCGTCCTTGTGGTCCCCATCCCACTCCTGTTTCTCTCCCTCAAACCCTAAACCCAGGATTCAACTCTGGAACCCACCCTGGAACCAAACCTTAACCCTTTGACCAACCCTTAACCCTGGAACCAACCCCCAACCCTTAAACCAATCCAACCCTGGGATCAACCCTTAGCCCTTAAACAAACACACCCTGGATCCAGCTCTTAACCCTTAAACCAACTCAACCCTGGAACCACAGATTGGAACCAACCCTAAACCTTGGAACCAACCCGTGGAACCAACCCTAAACCTTGGAATCAACCCAACCCTGGAACCAATCCTGGAACCAACCCTGGAACCAACCCTTGAGCCAATCCTGGGGCCAACCCTTGAACCAGCCCTTAACCCTGGAACCAATCCTTAACCCTAAACCTGGAACCAACCCTCAACCCTTAAACATCCTGGAACCAGCTCTTGACCCTCAAACCAACTCAACCTTGGAACCACACACTTGAACCAACCCCCAACCTTGGAGCCAACCCAAACTTGGAGCCAACCCGTGGAACCAACCCAACCTAACCTTCAAACCAATCCTGGAACCATCCCTGGAACCAATCCTGGAACCAATCCTGGAACCAACCCTGGAACCAACCCTGGGAACAACCCTGGGACCAACCCTTGAACCAACCGTCGACTCTTAAATCTACCCTCAACCCAGCTCTTAACCCTTAAACCAACCCTCAACCCAACTCTTAACCCTTAAAACAACCCTTGGACCGACCTTCAAATCAACCAATGCTCGAACTTATCGTCGGACCAATCCGCGAAACTAATGGGTGGTGAATCAACCCTTCAACTACTGATAAACCCCTAAAAAACAGATCTAAAACCAACCCTTGCACGCTCTTCATTTTTCTATCTTTTTTTGTTCCTCCTGAAACTCCTCCTCCTCCTGAAAAACCCGGAAAAAGCAGCACTAAACCCTAAACCTGAAAACCCATCCTTAAACCAACCCTACAACTGACCCGGAGGTAGGCATCCTCCCTGTTGTTACTCGTGAATTTGACGTACCCCCCCCCCGGAGGGTGGCACCACTGGGCTTTGTAGGGCTGTCGTAAGTGTTTCAGGACCGAAAGGCGTTCAGGTGCGCACATTCTACCTAGGGCTGCAGTGGAATTTCACAATTATTTACGCCTCCCCGCCCCCCCCCCCGCCCCGGCTACCTTCGTGGCGCCTTCATAATTTGGACCCGGTAAAAACTCAGGTGTGTTTTGGCACTCTCTGTGTGCTGTCTACCATCATCCAAGCAGCAGACCAATACATGAACTCTCTCTCTCTCTCTCTCTCTCTCTCTCTCTCTCTCTCGTTCCCTTTCTCTCTCTCTCTCTCTCTCTCTTCCTCTGTTATTTTGCCGTCATGCGATCAGTACTTGAAAACTGCCTCCTCTCACCCGTCTGATCATACATTCATTAACTCACTCTCACTCTCTCTCTCTCTCTCTCTCTCTCTCTCTCTCTCTCTCTCTCTCTCTCTCTCTCTCTCTCTCTCTCTTTCTTTTTCTCTCTCTT